GACATTTCCTATGGTTGTGATTGATGTGGATGTAGAACATGTCACTATCTCATTGTTTAATAAAGTAAATGTTCCATTAGAAACACAGACAGTAGAATTATAAACAGAGTTTGAAACACGAGACATTTGATGGAAGTTTGACCTCATTTGACCTTGAAAAAGAGCTCAGAGCTCCAAAATGGCTCTACAGAGCATTATTATCACTTTGACCTTCAGATCCATCTGTTGACCTTGAAGTGAGGTCAGAGGTCAGATGTGAGCTGATATCTTCATGTGCTCCTTTCTACATGTTGATGATCCACAGCACACTTGTTCCAATCCTGCTTTCTAAGTTTGAGGCTTTTCTCAGTTTCCATCAATAAATCATGAAGTCGACCTTGAAGACTTGGGTGGATGTGAGCCAGATGTGAACAGATGTTTAACATGAGCCCGCTCTACACCCCTACAAAGTTTGATCAGAGTTCATTCACAACTATTCGAGCTGTCGTGTTCACACACAGAACGACACGCACACACACGCTACCACAAACATAACCTGTGTTTTCAAGGTGAGCTAAAGCTCCAGGTGTCACATCAAACACTCACAGGGAAAACACCAATCACAGCACGCACACATATACTGAACATGACAGAGAGAGTTATTAGAGACCAGCTTTTATCACATTTATTCTTCCTCAAAGTTCCAACAGAGCCGAACAACCCAGAGGGAAATGTCCGGGTCCTCCCAGCAGCCAGTGAGCTTCTGTAGAGAGGACACGTGAATAAAGCCGCAGTGATCCACAAACACAAACAGCTCTTTGCTGCCTTTGACTCCTTACTTGATGCAACAGCTGATGCTGTCAAACAAAAACAAACTTCATGTTGACCATCAAACTGATCTTTATTGTCTTTCTTGCAGAAAGTTTCATTATTTCATGGGCAGCTGAAAGAAGTAAGAAGTGCAGAATATGACAGGAAATAAGTGGAAGAACAAAATCTTCATTTCCTCCAAGTCTTCTGGGCCTGGATGTGATGGAAACACTCACTGAGTCCACTGCTGTGCTCATCACTGAAGCTCATAATGCAGCAGGTAGTATTGCACATTTGCAGGACTGAAACATGTTGGAAACCTTGGAGGATTTCCTGCTTCTTCTCCAGGTCATTGAAGCAAACTGCTGGGCCTGAGCGGGCAGTTTCCCATCGAGTGTCCAAAAACTCTTTAACATGGTGGAGATTTCATAGCCACGCTGTAACCACGCTGTAAGAACACGAGGATGATCCACCGTCACCGTTCTCATAGGGGGTGGTCTGATTGGTGGAGTTTCTCTGTTGTTGTCGAGTCTTTACTTTACAGTAGAAACTCCTGCAGGTGACTGTTGTTGTCATTTGCTGCTGTAGAAATAAAACTGAAGGAGTTTGCAGGTAGAAGATATTTGATTTACAGCTTCTCACACACGAGACCAGGCCTGCAGCTATCCATTATTTTAGTGTGTAAACAGACTCCGCCTCCACGTTGAACTGTGACATCATCATCACTGCTGCTGTTATCAGTGTTTGTGTTTAACACTGGAGGCTGTGTGGGCTTAATGTCAAACTTAGAAATGTGATGAAGACGCTGAATCAGCAGAAAGAGCAGAGCAGGAAGCAGCAGCATCCACACAGGTGTGTCTCAGGTGAGTCCTGCTCCCACACTAAACACATCCACATCATATTAGCATGTGCTAACATGTGCTTCTGCTTTATTTCAGTCTGACATGTTTCCAGTCAACATGTCTGCTGTGTCTCTCAGCACTTGCACTAAATCTTCCCGTGTGTCTGTGATACTGCGTGATGCTGACAGACTGTAACGTAGTGAGTCTGTGAGCATCTCTGTCACCTACAGCTTCCCTGTGGAGCTCATTTCAAATGCTCAGGTTTACACTCAGGAACAGGAAATGCTGCGTCTGCAGTTTGTCTCCTTCAAACTAAAGCGTCTCAGACACGAGCAGCACGTGAGCACAAAGATGTTTGTGTCACGTGGTGGGCACGAGGAGCTCTCAGTGAGTTTGGAGCTGAAACATCTTTGACTCCCAGAGTGTGAAAGTGAAACAAGCAAACGTGGATATTTAGGACCTCAGACGGTGTGATGATGATCATGAACCCAGGAAACAAAGAGAGAAAAGAACAGATTGGAGATCAGAGCTGAACACACACTTTTTTAAAAGCATGCAGGAGCCGTGAGGACGAGCACGATTCATTCATTCATATCTGCACTGTGATCTGAACTCTCTCTCTTTCTAATCTCATGTCTGAAGGTGAGAAGGACACGCCTCCCTGACAGAAAAGCTTCTTTTGTTTCTTCTTTTATTTGAGATGTTTTTGGGACGACAGCTGAACGACTGCAGGTAAGTGTGTTAGCGCTACTTTAGCATCTAGCTAGCCCTGCTGAAGAGCAGCGAGCATAAAGGGAGGAACGTTTTTGAAGTGTCAGCTAATTTCAAATGCAGCGTTTCTATCAGCTCAACAAACATCAGCAAACACACAAACTGTTTGTGTGCAGTTTGTCTCACAGTGTGTGCAGCCAAAGGTCCAGCTGCTGTATTTCACAGGGAGAGAAAGAAAGAAAAGAAAAGCTGCTGTAGGAGAGGAACCCAAGCTTTGGCATCGCTCTGAAAACTATCGCTGATCCTTTACTCGCTGGCTTTCAAATCAAAGCTGGAATGAAATTTGTGGCGTTTGCAGGATCGAATCAATCACACAGGATCAGGAGAGAGACAGCAGAGCAGCTGATTTACACCTGAAATAAACTGTAATGTTAGAACATGAAGATATTACACACAATACAGACTGCAGCTCAGACAGCTGCTGGACAGATGTGTGTGTGTGTGTGTGTGTGTGTGTGTGTGTGTGTGTGTGTGTCTCCTCAGGGTTCAGCAGGATAAAGAGAGTCACTCATGTAGCTGTCAGTCCGTCAGCTTTAGCTCAGGAAACGTTTGTGTCTCAGTGTTACGACCCGGCTTGAAATGACCGTAACAAGAGCGGGGTGTCCCGTGACTTGAGATTTAAATGAAGCTATTTCATTACTGTATTTCTACACAATGCAAATGTGCTCATAACGAGTTGGTGTCCCGTGTTTGAGGCTTTAAAGTACTGTAACTCCTTTATTCCACACAGACAGCTTCAGCATTTGTTCTGCTTTCTCTGCTTTTATTTGAATGTGACAGAAAAACACGACTAGAATTTACACAAACGTGTTTACAGGCTGACTTTAATGTGTTTCTGCACATGCTTGTCCTCTGGTCATGTGATCATGTGGTTTGTAGGACGCTCCTCTTCCTCAGAGGATCCACCTGTGCTTCCTCTCCTCTCTCCTCCACCTGTTACAGTGAGGGAACGTCCTCCATGATGGAGGAGCTGCTGGAAAGTGCTGAGAGTTTCCTCCAGAGTGAGACCTCTGTCACAGTTCAGAGGATCTACGGCAGCAGAGACCTTCATGGACACTAAAAGTCTCAACACACAACAACAACATCACACTGACTCCACTCTGACATCACTGATCAATAATCAAAGAACACACAGATCAAACTGAT